CGATAAGACCGACCAACGAATCTCTTTTTCATTCACTTTCATACGAAATGAAAGTCCTCCTAACAAGTATGCGGTTTAGCCAGATCCTTTCTATTTTGCACGGATTTGAACTTGGGCTATCAAAGCATTCTTATAGTAAGCTTTAAGTGAAGGCAAAGTCTCTCTAGAAGCTGATGCTACAGTCACCTTTCATGCGAGGTGGCAAATAAAGAGTCCTTGGGGGCTGCATTCTGGACGCCGGGCCGAGTCATGGGGTGGCGCGGAGCCAGGGGATAATTAGTTTTGCAACTTCTCTCAACTGCAATCCAAGCCTTTTCTGACACCTACCCGTAAGTGTGGTTGTAAGACTATGCATACAACTGATCCTTTTCTTTTCGATCTTCAGAATTTGCTCTAGTTTACTATTTACTTTTCTTGTCTCCCTAATTCTGATCCTTTTGCTTCATTCTGCCTTGCCTCTATTCACCTCTCTTCTCTGATTCTTCCTTCTTGCTGTGGGCATTGCAATATCTCATCTAATCAGCTCAAGTCAGGGTTGCCACCACTCTTCGACCCAAGCATCTCCATGATCAATCGGACCCACCAAACATTCACTCGGTGCACCCGCAAACTTATCTTCAAACTTCAGACTCACTACGTCGCTCTCCTTCATTCAGTCAGCGCGCTCCCGGATCTCACTATCTTCCAATGTCCACTGCCATTTTAATAGACAAATCAGTCTCCCCAACTTCGGCCGCATCACCCTTAACGCCGACTCCATTACCGTCTTCAGCATCCTCATCTTCATCCCACTCCTGTTCATCCGCTGTTGCTCCTCCCTCTAACACCTCGACACATTGTCTGGCTTCTTCTGCTGATCTTGTCTCTGCGCCCGGTGATAAAATCAGCCGTTCTTCGCTCCATGTCTCAGAACCAAGGCATAATCGCCATCAGCAAAGAAGCAGCAAACAGGGGGGTCCTCATATAGCGTCAACCGGGGTGGTGAGGCGCCGCTCTTTAGGTGCTGTGAGGAGGCGGGATGTCGGCCATGAGGCTAGAAGCACTGCAATCTCTGCAACGACTAGTGATGCGGATGGTGCCGGCTGTATATCTTTATCCTGGCAGGAAGGCCAAAAGGCTGCACCGACTGAGGCCAGGCTGGCCTAATGAACAGTGCAGTGAATGGTACAGCTTAAAAATATGGTAAGACTTCATGGTTGGGAAGAAACTCAGCGGAAGCGGCCAGAATAATACTGGTTGGGAGACGAAAAGGGGGGAAGGAAAAGATAGAGAGTGGGGTTACTTTTGGCTATGAGAAAAAATGAATATGAAATAAAGTAGTATAGGATACTTGTAGATGGAGAATTATTTGAAAAATTTGTATACCTGAAGGATCTTGGATAGAAAAAGGGGCTTTAATTACATTTTGTGAAAATCGACTATTACTTTTAACAGAAAGATTGATTGGAAGGGATTCGTGATGTAGCTTCACCGGAAAATAAAGGAGGATCGCCCTGCAGTGGAAACTTACCTTGCTTGCAGATGGGTTAGGTTGATGCATGAAAACGATGTGGATATGGGCAGCAAGTAGGACTTTCATTTGCATATGCTTTCTTGTATGTCCTTAATCGATCATCATCCTCTTTATTTAGTTTGGTTGCGAAGTTTTGTAAATATATCTAAAATGGAGTGGAAATTGCCTGTTAGTATTATTCGGTAATACTAAATATTAAACCATATTAAAATAATTATACAAATACTCCTAAATATCATTGATTAGACCTATTGTTCTCTCTGAGTCATTTTGGTCTTGTATTCTCTTATCCATCAGCAATCTTCGAGAAGATTTGATTTCGCTACGGAATTTCGCTACGATTTAACGGACAAAATAACGTCATAATTAAGAGTCGACTGTCAGTTGATTTTTTCAGGGAGCTATCAGCAGTCTTAAGGGCTGTGAATCCCGATGATAGAAATGAAGAGGTTTAAAATTTGATTTGTTAGGTTTTAGAGACAATCAATAAATCCCGAATAAGCATTCTAATCAGCTTAAGTTGCATGAAGAGATGAAGGACTGATGGCTGATTTTTCCCGCAATTATGTGAGTAGGTCTCATGTTTCTTTGCAATTTCACATAGCCTTGCTTCCCAAAAGTTATTCCCATCCAGACTGGACTGGACTGGACTGGACTGTAATTTCAACCTCGCGTTGGTATTATCAGCACCTATAACAACGTATAATGTCGAAATGTGATTATTCAACTACTCTGCAACGAGGGCCAGTGGGTCAGACGTGAATGTAAGTTTGGCCAGGCCTCTCGAGTAAGGCATTTATAATGGGAAAATTAAGCTATAAGTTCTCTATCACCTTATGCAAACTAGAGTGACCAAAACCCTTATTCACGTTTTACTGTTAGTCTAGAAAATCCAGTCCATCTGAACCGATCAAATACAACTTGTCTGACCTTGGTTTGGCAACTTGGTCATATTAACAGGAAGGTCTAGAGGAACTCACCTTGTCCGGAGTCCATAGTATGCATGAGCATTTCCAGAGTCGGACCGTGAACTTGGTACATTCCCAGACGTTTTTCCGGCATCGTAGTCGGCATCGTCAGTGAGTCTTGCCATTCTCAGCAGCCAAGCCACAACCCGTCAGACATGAGTGAAGTCAATCTCTTGACCAACTTTCTGTCGAGACTGTGAAGAGATTGACTTCACTTGTCTCCTTGATGAGTTGTAGCTTGGTTGCTGAGACTAGCAAGACTCACTGACGATGTCGGCGAAACGTCTGAGAATGTACCAAGTCCACGGTCCGACTCTGGAAATACTCATGCATACTATGTACTTCGGACAAGGTGAGTTGCCGAACCAAGGTCAGACAACTTATATACAACGAAAGGAGACCGCGAACATACAAAACGCCACACCATCCTGGTCTTCATACCTTCTACAAAATACAAATTGAACTCATCGGCAATCTTATTGTAGATGAGCTGTTGGAGAAGCGTAGTCTTTCTTGAAATTCTCTTCTGCCCAGTCATCCAGTAGCATTCATGGCAGTGTGGTGTAGTGATAACATCAAAATTATGCACTGCACTAACCGGATTCAAAAATCGT